CTATCACCTTCTTTGTCTTGTACCTAATGTTTCATTGATGCAGCCCAAGACCACATTCACCTTTTGTGCAGCTGCATCACACCAAAGACTCATATTGAGTCTGTGGTCTACCAAGACTCCTAAGTCTTTTTTCCATAGTACTGCCATCCAGCCAGGCATCACTCATTTTATATCTGTGTTTTAGATTATTCCTCCTGAGGTGTAGCACCTTACATTTGTCCACACTGAACTTCATCCTGTTAGCTTTAAACTCAATTTTCCAATCTGTTGAAATCCTTCTGAATTGCATTTTCCTCCTCCAACAAGTTTGCAGTCCTTCTCAGTTTGGTGTTGCCTGCAACGTTGTTCAAGAAGCTTTCTATGCCAACATCCAAATAATTAATAAAAATGTTGAATAGTGCCGAGCCCTTCTGGGATTCCACTCAAAACCTCCTGCCATTCTAACATGGATTCGTTAATAATTACTCTTTGCTTGAAGCTATTGAGCTAGTTATCTATCCATCTGCTAGTAGTTTTATCTAGCCCACATTTCTCCATTTTGTTTATTAGAAGTTTGTGCAGGACCTTGTCAAAAGCCTTTCTGAATTACAGATACACTAGATCAGTGGTCTTCAAAGTGGGGTGTGCACACCCCAAGGGGTGCGCAAGACGATCCATTGCGGTGCGGGAAGAAAATATTAGAACTTCTATTTAGATATATATTTATATAAATATACATATATTGGGGGTGCATGCTCAAAAATTTTTTACTGATAGGGGTGCGCGATCAAAAAAGTTTGGAGACCACTGCTCTATATCATCTTCTGAAGTAATTACTTTGTCAAAGAATTGTATGACATGTTTTTCATAAATCCATGCTGGCTGCTTGTGATCAGTCTTTCCTCCTCCAGGTGCTTCCTTAGGTATTGAGGTGAGGCTAACCTATCTGTGGTTCCCCGGCTCCTCCTTTTTGCCTTTTTTAAAGAGGGGAAGACTTTGCATTTTTCAGTTGTAATGTTTATGATGTGGATCTGCATGCTCATATTGCTGAGACTTCAGTGTAATGATAGCAGGAGTGGAATGTAAGTTTATCATATTTCAGTTTCTTGCCTTTTAATGTTTTGGAGCTGAAAGAAATGTACACAATTTTAACTGAAATTATACCAGAGACTATGTCTTTTGTGTACTGATTAGCAGAGGGAATCATCTAACTTTATCTTGGCTGCTGTTAGCTTCCTATATTCAGATAAACACTTTGGCAGAAATGGAGAGGTTAGTTTTCTACTCAGACTTTGTCTTCTTCAATGCAGTCTATGACGGTTGGTCAAAAAGCTTATGCTGAAATTTGTTAAATTATGCACATAGGGTTGAATGTTTCCAGCCCCCTTCAAATTATATAGGAGGCCTGGAGAAATGTTGGCTGCTGGACTATAGCAACTTAGTATTCTAAATTGTCTGCAAAGTACCATTTGAATTTAGATTATTTAGGGATTTTTTTAGACAGAATTTCCTAAGAGATTTGGGAAAACAAGATTGCTTGGACTGAGCGGTTAAATCTTTTGTTTTCTTTCTAAGATGTCCAGTTGTGGGTGCCTCACTACAATAAATGTCCCTTGGGAAATCAGGAGACATAACAGGGTGTATATAGAGTGCATACCCCCCTACCACACTGTCCCCCCGGTCATATTTTTCTGCATAGTTTCTGCCAGGCTGTCCCAGCCACACAGCTGGAGAAAGTTAGCTGAGATTGAAGAGGTTATGTAGGACTGTGTGTGTCCTACTCCCCATTCCTGCCTCAGAGCATAGGGACTGTATGATCTATGGCAGTGGTGCTCAACCTTTTTTTCTGGCAGGACAAATGGATAGTGTCCTGTATGTCCACAGGCCAGATCCCATCTGTGGTTCTGATTTAGCACTGGGGCTGGTGAGGTGGGCACCATCTGGTCACATGGAGGGGGGCATGGGGCAGCCCAGCTACAGCCCAGCTGTGTGGAGTAAAGGAGGTGTAGCTGGCCCCCGTTGGGGTAAAGGGTCATGGTTTGGCCACAACCTGGCCCTGAGGGGGAAAAGAGGGCATGGCTTGTCCAGATGTGGGGCAGAGGGTGTGGCCTGCCTGGAATGGGCAGTATGGGTCTTGGGGTTTGGGAATTTCACAGGGGGGAGATGGCCATATTAATGGCCACCGCTCTCCCACTGCCAAATTTCCCACCCCATGGGGAGCCCTACAGGCCAGATGCAATGGCTCCGCAGGCCTCACTTGGCCTGAAGATGGGAGGTTGAGCATCCCGGTCTATGGGGACTGCTGTTCAGATGGCCTCACAATACCTTTGTGCAGTTCTAGATGGTAAGTGGTAGGTGCAATAAGGGAGGTAGAGGAGCAAAACTGGGGCTTGAAATTGATCTGAACTCTCAAGAGTTGCCTGCGGGGATTAGAAAGAATGAGAGACTCCAGGGAGGGTGTCCAAGAGCTGCGACTGTCTGGATTCCTATGTACATGGGGCCCTTGTGATTTGGGAGCATGTAGCTTCAGATAAGATTGTCGCCCGTTCAGATGCTCTCCTGTTCTGACAAGACTGGTGGGCTTTGCATCACACACTGGAAAACCGTGACCCAAAAGACCCTTCCTATATAATAACAAATGGGGAGTCATCTTCTACTTCTGCCCCCTTCTACCTCTGCCCTCCAGCCACAGGATCTCTAGCACAAATGAAGATAATGTGGCTTTTTTCTTTTGTCTTGATTTGGTTCATTTTATTCCTTATTGTTTTTAGTATCTAAGCTCCACTTCTTTTCATGATTGTTTTGAATCTTTTGATAAAGGATTGTCAGTAAATAATACTTTCCAATCATAAGCCCAAATGTTTAACTTCACTTTAACCTCAGACTATCATACTTAACAGACATATATGTAAGTGTCTGCAGAACCAGGTCATATACTGATAAAGGATGTAGGAGGCATTACTCAGTGCAAGCAATATATTGTCTCAGCATCCTTTCCCTAGTCACTAAAAGACGTCAGTGATGAGAAAAACTATGTTGTCCATCCACTGTTAAATTTCTCTGTCTGTTTCCATGATGAAAAATCATGTCCAGTAGTTAAATAATTGCAATTTCTTAAAGATGACCTGAAGGGGAGGTGAAGGAGGGGCTTTTTTTCTTTTATGGTTTCTGGAGACTGCCCAAGAAGATTGAGGGTTTTGGTTTTTTTTAAAACAATCCTTCCTAACATGTCGGGGGGGGGGGTTGTTTTTGTTTTTTTAATTTGGAAGCATCAGGTATATGAAATCTTGTCTTGTTCTTACTGGAGAAAATGTTGGATGAGTTGGGAAGTCTCTCAGCTTTTAATATTCAGGATAGACTACTGAATACTTAATAGATTTTTTTCTTTTAATTGTTTTTACAGATAAATCAGTGCTGCAGAAATAAACAAAAAATGCCAGAATACAAATAATTGACTCAGTCAAGTCCCTTCATTGAAACACCTGCATGCTTAATTTTATAATTTATGATTGTGACTAGAAGGTTCAATGAGCCAATTCACATCTGTAATATTAAGCATGCATGTATATTTTGTAGCATCACAGCTGGAACACAAAAGTGTTTGTCCCCATAGAACATATGGAAAGGAAACTGTGGATTCATTTGTTGTATTTCTTGAATGTAGTAAATCTAACAGTCCTCTATAGTTGCCCCACAGTCTTTGAAGAAAAATACGTTATAAATGGCTGGCATTTCTCACAGTACTTCTAAAAGGTACGTAAAACGTTCTTCAGAAAGAAACACAAGGAAGTGCAAAATGATTATTTTTTTCATTGTTGCCTTCCTCTATAAAACATTAGGGTGCTCTGAATTCCTGGTTTGAACCAAATCTTGTTTGTCTTCACCCTACCATGCATTATAAGGGTGGGACGACATCAGTGGGCTTATTTACTGTCGTTCTAATAATAAAATATTGATAGGAAATGTGAAGTATTAATATTATGCTCTAACATTTCATTTTTTCTCTGTGCTTTCTTTACAGCACAGACTAATTTTTTCTTGAAGTTCTGTGATTCATAAGGACATTTATTCCTTGAAAATTGACACCCATTCTGCAGTGAACATATTCCAGCGCTGGTGGGGTGCTACGTGCACGGATGGTTTGGGCTGTGGTTCTCAACTGTTTTAGAGTAAAGGCACCCCTTGGAAACTGTTGGCTCTTTGCCATCTCTTGATTTTATTTTTTTTACCAGGGATAAATACTAGAGCAGGGGTTGTCAACCAGGGGTCTGCGTACCCCCCCCCGGGGTACTTGAGAAGGCCCTACGGGGTAGGTGTGGAGACAGAGCATCGCCACATGCCACCCCGCCTGGCCATGCCGTGGCTGCCACCGCTCCGTGTTCAGCAGCGCACCACCCCCATGCTCCACGTCTGGCCGCTGGGGGTACACTGACCCAAAACGGTTGGAAACCCCTGTCCTAAAGCAATATTTGTGTTGCAAAGACCCTGAAAGCCCACAGCAGGTGAAAAGGCTTTTCACTCTACAGATTCCTATTTGAAATCTCAGGTCTCCACCTTGTAGCCCTCTCAGTCTAGAGGCAAAAGCAATCAGGACTCTGGCAGAGGTGATCTCTTTTATAAAACCGACTAGATTTTTTGTAAATTAAAGAGTGTGTGTGTGTGTGTGTGTGTGTGTGTGTGTGTGTGTAAAATCTAGCTGGTCTCCTAAAAGCCGTCACCTGCACCCCGCGTCCTGCTTGCGACGTGAGATCTCCGGGTTGATCCTGTGACACCTGCGGCGCCCCAGGGCCGAGCAAGCCAAGCCCCCGGGTGTCGGTGCAGACCCGCCCCGTGCCCGGAGCGCGGCAGAGCGCTGCCTGCCTCCGCGGCCGCCGGACGAGCAGCTGCCCGGCCCGCCCGAGACCCC